AAGGTTGACTGCTCAAGTAAAGATGTAACCTTAACACTAACATCCGTCTTTCGCTGGTGAAGTGAAAGTCCTGCCAGCTCGGGGGTTTGTGGTTAGATACAATCCTCTCATTTCTAATGAGGCGATAAATGTGACATTTAGATGCCTAGGGGGGAGAATACAATACTGAGAAGTGCACACAGCTATCCAACAAGGAAAATAAACAAGAAGGCCAACATAGGCTAACGCTTTCAGATCACGATTCCTGTGTGCAGCAGCTGATGGGAAACTGAGCTCTGAAGGCGGTAGAAAGGACACACAGATGATTAAATGCCAAATATGTGTGTGTTCTCCTGAAAAAACACTTTCATTCAATGCATGATTTTAACAGAAGCTCAAAAAGAGAAACATGCTTTATGGGTCATTTTAAAATGTAAAGAAACTGATGGAGTTGTGGGGAAAAGCGCTGATGTGATTCGGTATATTTGTTGAGGGCAACAACTGCTTCACTCCACAAAGGGAAATTGATTTTCCTCCACAAATAGGCTATGGATGATGCCCTGAGGTTGAGTCACTCCACTGGACTGCGCCCTGTGGAGGCCACGTCTGCTCTTGCTGTGTGGGTGAAAAATAGCAAACACACGCACAAACATAACTCCCTCATCGTCCCTTGCTTGCGTTGAGGTTCTGCCCTTGAGGTCGGATCTGGCAGATAAAGTTGTGCCTGTTCCCAAAACTATAGGGGAGCACAATTTGGAAAAAAGTAACTCATTGCGATTCATTTTGACTGAATACAATTGCGATATAATTCAGGATTTAAGAGAGAAGAATCCGTTTGTAGTCAAAATTCTCATTGCATAAAAAAATATTCCAAATAACCATGGCGTTATTTTTAAATCAGATTTTCACAAAAAACAAATCTAACTTCTGTTAAGTCTGTAGAATAGTATTTGTAGGCCGGGATATTTCTGCAGCAAAATGGCTTTTTACCACATAATTAGCTTTCAATAAATATTGTGCTTCCTGATATTTAAATACTGCATTTTGCGACTTCAGTTCAATGTTGGTTAGTTGTGCAGCCCTACCAAATAACCTGCTCAGTTCAGCGCCGAATGTAGACACACCTCTCTGAACTGACACGACCCTGTATTTTGGCTGATCAACTGAACTGCATCCTTGTTTTTTGGAAAACTGCCAGACAGAAAGATAGCAGATCAACATTAGAGAGTGGGTCCAGAACAGAAAGAGGAGAAATTGGGGTTGGGATAGTGTGTGTTAACTAGGTGAAAGGTGAACACCTCTGTAGGGAATCATATAATGCTCACATGATCCAAAATGTGAGATTCTTTTTCTGGATTTTCAGATATTCCATATGCCCTTTTTTGGATGAAATTGTTTAAACTATATTTTATTTAGCTGGACATTATTTGAGCAAACACTTTTGATTATTAAAGTGACAGTGGTTGTTCACTCAGGTGTTCTCCAGTTGTGCAGATGTTCTTATTACAGTAACGGTAGTCCACAGGTAGGACTTTTGTTGAAGATTTGAAAAGACACAAAGACTGTGAAGCTCCCTAGATATACATCTCTTGCAAAATAACCATCATCTTTTAACATTATAATCTGCTGGTCTTTAAGCTGGTTTACTGAAAAACATAATATATATTTGTTGATAACAATCTATTATTAAAGTTACTCTCTTCAGTGGAGGAATGCTAATGTCAGGAGAATCTTTTATTGAGAGGTATATCCATTTACATCCAGATATTAGTAAGCCATTGCCCAATATATGTACAGTGTTTTATGAGGCAGGCCTGGTGATGTTTCAATGTTTAACAAGCAGAACACCTCTGACCTGCAGCAGCTACTGTGTAAAGTCTATAGAGAAACATTAGCACTCACTGTACTTCTGATTATATGAGGCCTATGATAGGACCACTTCCATAAAGTCAAAATGTTTTGTTTGTTAACCAAATATAGCTTACAGTCAAGATCACCCTGAGTTCTTTTGGTCCCAGTTAAAGAGCAGACAGTCATTTAACAGTTATTTAAGCCAACATGTATCTCTAAGTAAATATTTAAAAACGCCAGAATATCCTGTTTGTTGTTTAGTTTAGTTTGAGTTCATTTGTGGCAATTATAATAAAACAAAACATGTACACATTAAGCAGATCATAGGCTACAAACAAACTGATTAATGTGTTTGAAGAATAAAACTCAACTAAACAACCAACAGTATATTCCGTTTTTTTTTTTACAAAGATATGTGTTAGCTAGCTATACCATTTGTTTTATATTGCATTACAATTAAACAAAAAGTAGAATTCAGCAGTACAAACAGTAACGTGTCACAGCTTCACGTTGAGTCATACACCTCTTATTGTTATTATAACTAAAAGGTCCACAGTAATGTTAGCTTTTATGCTACAAATAATACAAAAAGACAATACAACTGATGCACTAGCTGACGTTTGAGCTAGCTAACTACAGCTAGCCTTGTTAGCCGAGCGTCCAGCCCATTAGCTAACGGATGCTTCACGTTCATGGGAAGATGCGACTGTTTTTCCCTTCATTGCAACGCAGTACAACACTGTCACAACCCCGATTGCATACCTGTTGTTGTTTACGATATTTCCAGGATCCAGGGTAGCATGGAATCGACTGCTAAATCCTCACTACGTCCAAGTGTGTGTTTGTGAGTGTCGGCCTTGTCCACTGAACTGTAACTGTGGATGCTCCTGGATGGATGCTGGAGCTGCTGCTGCCTTCACAGACTGTGGGAAATGTCGGAATCACGCAGTGCTGTTGAGCTGGTTGATGTTTTAGCTGTTACGTTCAAGGGGCGGAGAAAAGCCCCCATGTCAACATATGCCAGTAGTTCATTTTCCTTCAACTAATTTACAATCTGTGAACAGTACCAGCTACTTCCATAATTGTATATGGTCCCCTTTTAAAAAATATACTGCTACTTAGTTTTTGTTTAATTTACCATGGTTTGCTTATCTGTTTGTTTTTTTACTTATTGTGTTTTTATTATGAATAACGTTTGCCTACTTTTTCATTCATCTTTTTACTTTATATCCACTATGCTTCTGTTGTAATACTGTAAATGTCCCCATTGCAGGACAAATAAAGGAAGGTTGACTCTGATTTGACTTTCAATATGGATTACAATGTTTTACCTCTCTACTGTCGTATTCTAAGAAAAATACATCTACAAAAGGTAAATGACTGACAGGCTTTTCTTGATATATTTTCATTTGATTTCATACTAAGAATATTAACTACATTAGCTTTCTGATTCATTTTTCTTAACAAAAGTGTTACGTTTTTTTAAGTGGACTAAGAAACTCCCATCTCTGCACTGAAAACTGTGAAAAACTAAATTTTCAATCAAAGGAAAACCATAAGAAGTAATTTAAAAAAACTCCAGAAAGAAGTAGTGAGTAGATCTTGGGCACATTTTTCTGCCGAATGACTGTTCTAAGGTTAATAATGACTTGTTAGCGTATGTTTATCTTGTTTGAACTTTAATGACCATTGAGATTGAAGTTATAATTATTATCAAATAATGTTTGCATGCAGATGATATAACTATTCAAAGCTTACTTTGTTGGCCTTTGTGCAGAGTATACAAAAAAAAGGTACCACTTTACAATAAGACTACCCTTATAAAGGATTCATAAAGGGCTTATAATGAGGTTGTAAACACTTTATTAATCATTAAGAACGATTTATAAACCAGTTCTAAAATAGTTTTCATACATCAACACAGGCTCACTATTTGGCAAGATGACAAAGCCTTATATTGGCTACCTAGCTTACTTCGTCTTCTTCATCATCCTTCCTTGGTATCTGTTGTTCACTGAGTTGATTCCCCCCCTTCCATCTTGATGTTTCTTGGCATCTCTTTATGACCATTTATTTACGAGTTACTAACATTTATAGTTGCCAAAAGGGAGCCTTATTGTAAATTGTAAAACACATTCCCATTTATTAATGAGTTACTACCATTTCTAATAAGACTTAGCAGTTCAGATAAATGTGGGCTCACTATTTGGCAAGCAACCGGTCACAGTTCCCCTGTTCATCTCATGTCTTATAAAAGCTTATTAAGGATTTATAAAGTGTTCACAACCAAATTAATAAATGAATTACAAACTATTCGTAAACCCTTTATAAGGGTAGTCTTATTGTAAAGTGGTACCAAAAAAACAGCCACATAAAATGAACAGACAACATTTTAACCCAGAAACTAAATAGACACACACATGAATTTAGGGTTTATTATTGTAACCATAACAATAAGGTGGATCTCTCTTTATTTTGACCATCAATTCAATCATAATTGTTCTTTTTATCACAGGCAATAGTTATAATAGTGCACTTTTTATATTTAAATTATGATACAGACATTTCTTTTTTTTTGTATACACCTTATTCTACTGACCCTTATGAATGGAGAATAGTTTACAATCTTAGCCAGAGTTGGGTCAATGATAGTGAAGGTGACGTCGTGACGAGAAAAGATGAAAGTGGTGATGGTGAGCAATCAAAGAGTGTGCACGGACAGTGAGGCAAACAACTTTGTACAGTTTCTCTCGTGATGAAGGCTACACAACGGGTGAGGAGGCAGACGGACAGGTCAAAGGGGACAAGGCTAAAAAGCAAGAGATGAAGCGAAATAGCAAGCATTTAATGCATGAGAGAAATGATGTGCCTGTTAGCGTTTGGCTGTTAGTTCATGTAGTATTCCTGGGTCAGTTTAAAATGCTCAAAATGCATCTGCTGCAAAGTTTTCATCTCACTCTCACTCAGCCGCCATCCATCCGTCACACACACACACACACACACACACACACACACACACACACACACACACACACACACACACCACACACCACACACACACACACACACCACACACACACACCACACACACACAACACACACACACACACACAACACACACACACACCCACACACACACACCACACACACACCCACACACACCACACACACACACACACACACACACACACACACACACACACACACGTTACCAGAGATAAGCGCGATAAATATGATGTTGACATAACAAATATCATCAGAGAGGTAAGATGAGAGCAACTTGTCAGTAATGCTCAAAAAACAGTGATAATGAGAATTGAAATAGGTAACTTGTATTAGCTTTTTGTTGGCATTAAATCTAATCAAATACATGACACAATCAACCACCTGACCAAAAAAATAAAAAATAAATAGATGGATACGTTAGTGAATAAATATAAAAAAACGAAATAATAACCATAACTGTAGCACTGTGTGTCTCTCTGAAAACATTCTGCACTTTTGTTGCATATTGTGCTGTATGGAAGACTGGTGAAAAACATCGACAAGTCTGATCGAGTGCTGGAGGAATACGTGACTGTCCGAGCTGCTACGTCTGCTTGCAGGATGGTGCGACTCTCTGGTGGTGAGCGTGGGTGCAGTGATGGACTACTTGGCTTGTTGGTGAACACTGAAGAAGTGAGGATCCCGGGGTGAGGAGACTCTTTGCTTGCTTCCCATTTTGAAGTCCTGCACAACGAGGAATTGACATCGCAAGCCTTTAGAGTCCGGCATCATGAAAATGTCCATTGATGAATTTCCTTTGTGTTTTTTTTTGTTGTCTTTTCATTTTGTTCTGAGTCAGTACATAAATACTATGGCAATAGGAGACAAGCTTGACGAGAAAGGTGGCGTCTGTTTGATCCACAGGCCAGGAATGCTCTTCTCACTCTGGCCTCAAACAGCAGGGATGAGGTTCATGGAACAATTCACGCATAATGTTTTTTTTTTCTTCATATAGTTATGTTCATATTTCTGTTCAAATCAAAAAATACTTTTGTTCAGAGCAACAAGGGTCCAACGTGAAAATCTTAGATGCATTGTTTCATATTGTCTCTGAGTAAAAAGAAAATACAAAAAGAATCAAAACATTGAACTTTAACGCCTTCTTAAAGCAACGTCCCCTCTCCGGCACTGTCGAGTGTTTCTGTCTGTACTGCCGTCACTGTGCTACTGACATCCTCGAAATAAATATGTAAACAATAAATACAAACTAAATAAAAAAATATTTATTTTCACATTCACTTACTTAGCTTACTTGGTTGGTTTTCTTTAGCTCAGGAGAAGACACCGCTGGAGTTCCAGGCTGTAGTTTCTCCTGAGAAAATCAGGACCTCTTGCTCAGCTCCTCACTGTCGTGGGAGCAGGTTGCTAACTCTTAGGGTTCTTCTGCAGAGATACATCTATATTTCTTTCAGTATGGACTGCATGTTGCTTGATAATGATATGAGCGCACTGGTTAATTTAAAGAGTAATCTTGAGAACCGTCACAAGACTGTTACTTCTTTTTGGTGTCAGATACTGTATTACGACGATATGGTAGACTAGCCTATCATTTCAGCATCCTTTAGCAGGCTGATTTGCTAACTGGCATGCACATTAGCACTTCAAAATTCCTAGTTGGATCTGTGAAGCTGTATCTATGAGGGATACCAAACTGCTCATTCACATTTATATTTTTTCCCTTAAAGGGTGACTCCTTAACACTTCTCATTTAAGGGGTAGGAATCCTGGAGATCCAGAAGATCAAAACAATGTGGAGTTGGGGGGGGAAAAAAGCGTGACAGAGAAATACTCAACCCTTGCACCTTGAATAACTTAGTCAAGCAAGAAAAGGAGTAGCTCATGGCTTGCAGGGACACTTGGAGATGAAGTCTCTTCCCGCTGTGGTTCAGGCATCCCGCTGCGCTGACTCACTTCTCTCCTACGGTTGGGATTGGGTTCCGTTGGAGGACAGCAGTCGGGTTCTCTCTTTCGCCGAGCCTCTGCGCTGCAGGACCCCACCGCTGCCTCCGATGCTTCCTCCGTCCGCCCGGTCGCCCCACTCGCACCTGTCGCCCCCACCCTCGGAGCGCCTCGAGTTTTGGCGGGTGGGGGTCCCGTGGGGCCGGCCGTTCTTCTCATCTGGGAAGGGATCAGCAGACGAGAACAGGAAAGTCACTCTCGACGTATACATTACATGTCACTTGTTAGACGCTTTTATCCAAAGCGACTTACATACTCAATACTGCGGTGGAGTTTGAACCTGTGCTCCCTGATCCCAACACCAACGCACTAGGCCACTGCGCCACAGCCGTATACATGCTTTAGTGTCTATGGGTCTGGGCAGGATAAAATGGAATGTTTGATGACAGAAATGGGGGGTAAGCCTTAAATTCAGTTCCTTTATTGAAAGATCAACTGCACTACTTCAGCCTATGAATTTCCAAGAAAATTCAAGAGTATGGTTTGAATAGAAAAAGGTCCTTAGCCTTGAAATCTAATTAAACAAACAACAATATAAGTTAATGTTTAATGATTCTACAAAAGCCACAGCGTGAACGAGATAAGACATTTGCATATATTCAGATAGCTCATGGTGTAATAAGTTAGTTTAGGGCCACCTATATGTGTCTGTATCTGTAAATACCAAGAGACTTTTCAAGCACAAGGAAATGAAGTATTGGTCAATAAAATATATTTAAAAACATAAAAAGGCAAGAAAAACACATAAAGACACATCAATGCCCCTGCACATACCTAGAATAATAAATCCAAACATGAAAAATGTCATATTGTTACTCTGGTGGAAGCACAAGCGTGAATAAGCAGTCTCACCAGATAGGGCTTGCGCCATGGGTTGATCATGAGAGCTGAGAAGTTGGGCTTGAATCGTTTCCACCACTCGTCTGAACCTGCGACTCGGACCTGGAGATGCACCGAGTCACGCAAAAAATATTATGCTTACGTTTTAAGAACTGAAAGTATGACTTTAACATTTTCAGATTATATATTTTTTATTTATCAAATAGGTCATGAGTTTCAGATATTAGTTCTCAATGTCTATACAAAATACAACCTTAAAACGTCAGGATCAGAGAATAAGTGAACATGTTTTTATTAAATGTTCCCTTTCTGAATCAAAGTTAGATAAGTATATGGCAGACAGCAGCCTGTTAGCTTAGCATAAAGACTGGACACAGGATGAAACAGCTAGCCAGGCTCTGTCCAAGGGTAGATAAACCAATTCTTATTAACCCCTCACTCAGTTTGAAACTAGTTAACTAAAACTAGAAATGGGGGGGTACTAGTTTTTTTATTTGAAGTAAGTACGACCAAAACTTATTTAAAAATTTGAATGGAGTTGAATAAACTCCCAATTAAATGATCGGTCCACTTGCCTGAAATGAGGGTGAACGTCACGCTGTAGATTCCTGTCTCCCTCCTGCCCTCCCTCTCGGTCCTCTCTCGCTCCCTCTCGCCTTCGGAAAAAGAAATGTCCACCTGGAATTTGACGGGCTTCTGGAAGACAGAAGGGCCGGCGGAGGACTTGTACTCGGCCCGAAAACTGGTCTGTGAAAGAACGCTGTGACTGAGCGACGGGATCTGTGTGGTTGGGAGAGAGAGAAGAAGCAGAGAGACCGACAGACTTACGAGGCGGGAGAGGTACGGGTACAAACGTGAGTATAGGGAGACAAAGGGTGAGGGTGAGGAGAAGAGGGACAGAGTGAGCCATTGGTGAAAGCAAAGTGATAGATAAACGTGCCACGGGTGAGCAAGATTCAAATAATAAAAAAACGTGAAAGAAATGCGTACAGTATGAGAGTGCGTGTGAAGTCCTTATAGCCAGTGAGAGCCATGCCTCTACAAACAAGTGTTGATAGTGAGAGGAATGAAGACAGACCAGCTCAGATACTCACAGACAGGAATGCGTGGACGATGTCGGCTTTGACCGAACTCAGAGGTTTGTCTCTGATCACGACGAAGATCTGCTCCTCCTTCTCCAGGCCGATGAAGTTCCCGAACCACGACTTCTTAGCCAGCCTGGCAGCCAGACAGAAAACATATACAGTAGAAGCAAATACACAGAGCCAAAAAAAAAACTCACCAACACAAAGCCTTCAAGAGTTAAAACAACTCCACACGTTTATCTCGACTTACTCAGGGCTGGATTCTGGTGTTAGACTGGACATGTCTTCTGATGTAGGAACTGAAAGAGACAACTCACTTTTAACATTAGCAGTTCAATAGATGATCTTCAACTGGAAGCCAGAGGGAAAGAAATATTAAGATATGATCCATGCGGTTAAAGAGGTCAGGACACTGTATGCTGGAACAGAAAATGGATGTTTGTAAGTGTTAGAACGACATCATGATAGCATGATACTAAAAACAAATTAAAGATGGATATTATTCTAATAATACACATAATATTATTGTTTTGGTCCGCTTGTTTCACCTGGTGGTACAGAAGAGTCTTGCCATACCCAAAAGTGCCCTCCAACTGGCCCGAGTCCGAAAATGTGTCATTTAATTATTTTTGAGTAACAGTTATTTTTTACTTTTACACATCAAAATACAATGAAAGTGTAAAAATGAGTTGTTAATCATTTGAATGTTTTAGTAATGAAATGATGTCATGTCTGACACACAGCATGAAATTAACTAACTTAGCTTAACGCAGTCAGATTCTAAATCTTCAGTCAATGATTAAAACAGAATAAATTTAAATTTTGGATTAACTATAATAACTATAAAAAATACAGTCGAGAGGCAACTGACAACACGACCCTGAAAGACGAACCTTTCATTGCTGAAGAGGGGTCGGCAGTTGAGGTGCCATGCGGCGCCACTTCTAGAAAGAAAATGAGAAGATGTTACCAGGCTAGGCTACAGCAATCTGGAACTACGGCGGTGAAGTTAGTTTCAGGTTGGATATTCGGAATAATGTCCTGGATCCAGAGGGTCATCTCACCCAGTGTCACAGACCGTCAGCAGACCCAGTCCTCGCTCTAAACCAAAGGGTTTCACTTCCCAATAATAAATTACCATTTGAAAGACATTGTGCTACCTTGCCCATATAAGTGAAAAGTATGGTGTGGTACAAAATAATTATTATCTATTTAATGTGACTCAATGGGTGTTTCTCAATGTCGAGGACGCTTCCTTTGTAGCACATGTCTTCCGAGTCACTTGCTTCAGAAGCGAGGCAAGAATCCTTCCTAACCTCGGAAAACAAAGAATTGTGGAACAGGCTAACAGGTGTGCAGGTGTGCGTCATATGCGAGGCCCCGCCTTAAATGGAGCGCGATTTCCGCCAAAGATTTGGAACATGGTCCGTGCGCAAAGCATTGTGGGGATTTTAAGGCCGTTTCTCAATGTCGAGTAAAGCTGCTCCAGAGCCACTATTTCAAGCATACGTAATCGAGTGCCGCCGAAGTACTGTTCCAATGTCCAGCATACTTGGAATTCTACCGAGGCCGGCGTACTTCGTAGCGAGAAATTTCGAGGCTGCACATGTGTAGACTCCGCGGTCTTAGGGTGTTTCTCAATGTCGAGTACGCTTGCTTGGTAGCACATGTCTTCCGAGTCGCTTGCTTCAGAAGCGAGGCAAGAATACTTCCTGGCATTCGGAAAACGAAGAGTGGAACAGGCGAGCAAGTGTGCAGGTGTGCGTCATATGAGAGGCCCCGCCTTACATCTTCCGCCACAGATTTGGGGAAATTGGTCCGTGCGCAAAGCATTGTGGGGATTTTAAGGTGCTTGAAATAGTGGCTCTGGAGCAGCCTTCCTCGACATTGAGAAACACCCTCTGACTCTGAATCGATGCAGCGTTGTATAACTAGTAGGACACACCTTTTTTTTATTGGATGTTAGCCCACATTCTCTTTTATATGTATATTTAAGTGCAATTTCAGATTTTAGTTGGTTGAAGAATTTGATTTATTTTCATTAGCTTCAATTTCCTGTGACCCAATGGCATTGAATTACTTCACTGGACAAGTAGGACACACCTCTTCTTTAATGGAAATATTAATATAAAAAGGAAGTTGACTAAAATCCAATAAAGAAAAGTGTGTGCTACTTGGCCAGTGTAGTAATACAATGCTGCATTGATTTGGAATAAATTATTCATGGCACATCATACTAATTAATTGTATACAAGTTTTTAGCATTATGTCACTAATATGGTTCAGTTAGCACGGCGGCGATAACATTGGCTTTGTGTCGTTCATACAGTGATTTGTTGATGGTCCCTAAGTGAAGCCCTGTGGTAAAGAGTAAGGGCTGGATTAGATATGAGCTTCAAATGCTGGCAGTCTGTGAAACTGAGTATTAAGAGCGGAGTGAATGTTGAATATCCAACCTCAAACAAACTTTACCGCAGTTCTAGGATTAACAGGGCCAGAGGAACAGCAAAGGCTGTATACTGTATAGCTAAGGTGGCTCTTTAATTGTTTCAGCAGTGGGAAGTGGTGCTTGGGAAATTTGATTTGGTATGTGTTCTGAAAAGTTTCCGAACCTCTGTGAAACATGTGTAAATAATCCAGCGCCTCCTTAATCATTTCTGCTTTTTCCTTTCTCGCTTTGTCTCCCTCCCCAAAGACCCCACGCACACAAAAGTGTAATTTATTTGACAAAATAAAAGGCAAGATGACAAGATGAAAGATGAATATGACTTAAAGCAGTATTTGTTTGTATTATTTCAATAGTTATCTCAATATTATAGTCGCTGTTATTGATTTGGCCATGATAATCATATAGTGAATATGTCCTATTGTGTAAGTAGAAAACACTTCTTAAAGCTGATGAGCTACAGTTTGTTAGTTTAGTCAACTCTGGTGCAGATAATGTTGAGACCTTAAAATCACGACACCTCCACATTCCTTCCTACAAACTCACCCTGCATCTTGCGCCGATGGAAACGCGGCGAGCCCAGCAGGTTGTTCTTGAAAGAATTGAGGCGGGTCCTCCAGTGGGCGGAGCTGCTGGCCGCCATGCCGCTTCCCCCCCCGGGACTGGAGGGCGGGGTCAGCGACAGAGAGCCCACCCCTCCCCCTCCCTCCGCCCGCGAGGAGGATGAGGACGAGGAAGAGGAGGGCGGGGTAGAGGAGGGGTGGTGAGGGTGGTGGACAGGGGTGCCCAAGGGCGTGGGCAACGGAGAGCCCTGGGGGGTAACCTGCGGCACAGAGTGGGCAGAGTTTGGGTAGAAGCTCTTAGTCACTGACTTAAGGACAGAAGACGAGGGGAAGAAGAAACGAGGGATGGGTGACAGGAGCGGAGAAGGGGAGGGTGAGCGGGAGGATGGGTTGTGCAGAGGCAGGGATTTGATGGGCTGCAGGTGGGGTCGGTCGGCCGGTCCCTTGGTGGGCAGGGTCTGGGTCTTTGGGTTGGGGGGAGCTTTGGGCTTTTCATGAGCCCGTGCGGAGCGAGGAGTGGTGGCGTTTCCCTGTTTGGACTCCTTTGAGAGGAGGGTGGCGGTGGCTGAGGTGACGTCTGATTGGCTGAAAGTGAAGATGGGGCTTTGATAGGACTGGGAAGGGGGGGGATTTGTGGGGTGGGGGGATGGGGGAGATGGATACCAAGAAAGAGAGGGGATGGAACATGGAGAAAGGATGGAGATGAATATCATGCTTCATGACAAAAGAGTGCATCTTGTGAGTAGTGAAAGTGTCAAATGCAATACTACCAATGGTGACATCTGCGCTTTAATCTTTTTGTGCTCTTTATATTTCATGTGATTGTGGTAGTGACTGGGTTAAACATTTAGTGACTAAAGACAGTGGCAGTGAAGATGTTATTGCTTGCAGTTAAGGATGAATTATTCACCATCTATGGACTGTTTTAGAACATGAGCGAACTATCCAATAAACCTCAATTAATCCTCTTTTTAAAGGTTCGATGTTATATTCTTGAGAATGGTGCACACAACTAGTTCATGCATGATGAGGAAGATAAGTGACATGAAGACAGAAGAAGAATGCCACACAAACCTCCTGTCGGGTGAGATTTAATCTGAGGAACTGGTGTGGTGGTGATGATGTGTAAGAATGACTGAAGACTTGATAAATGGATACTTGAGGGGGTCGTGAATGTGGTTACATTTTTATAAAAGCAGTTTAAGGCACAGCACACTGATATTGATAGCTAAACACATGTTGAAACTACTTAGTGTTATGATGATTTTTACTGTTAAAAAACACACATGATTAGCAGTATTTATGAAATTCTTAGACATTGTTAAGATCTACATTTGTTTATATAACATGGGAATATTGTCACAAAACTAATGAATACATAATAAATAACTTTAAATTACAGTCCAGTCCTAATGTCAGCAATACTTCAAAATTCAAAACGACAAATTGGTTAACGGCACTGTTATCAACAAACTATCAGAATATGACATGACCTAAATGTTCACTCTAGGGCTCGATGGAAATGCTAACCATGTGGCCTCTGCTGATTGGGCAACACTGAAGCACACACATAACATTGAGGCTTTAGTTTAAAGGATAGGAACTTTGAAGACTGTCTTAAAACAATAGCCAGGGGTCCATCAGAAGAGTTTCTGTGCGTGTAATCATTCCTCCTGTTCATACTGCCAGTAACTGTAAGTGATCCCTTCTTAATGTACTTTAAATGTAAGTGATACTGGCCAAAATGGACAGTTCTTGTTCTGTGTAAATATGCTTCCTGAAGCTTATCTTAAGCTAATATTAGGCTTCCCAGACAGTGTAGCATTGCTGAGCTGCAGCCAAGGGATAGTCACACAAAGGGAATTCTACACCAAATCAAATTGTAATCAAGCAGGGGGGGGGTCGTTCAATGGCCTGATTATTGTGAGTCTATCCTGGGGGAGTTAAATAATACAAAATGCATGCTTGCATTCTGATCAAAGACAGTGCAGGTAATCAATGCAACAGTTCAATATGTACAGTTTGTCGAAGTTTGGCCACCAGGCCCTTACCCTGGGACTGCTGAGAGGACTGGAGGAGAGACCGGTTGATGCTCCGCTGACTGAGCGAGACCTGGGGAACAGAGCGGAGGTCAAAGGATTGTCAGCAAAGAAAGAGTATGAGCAACAAGAAGCTGTGTGTAATGCATGTGTGTTAGCATACTATATGTACCTCTGGCTGTGTGCAGCTGTGTCCAGGGCCCTGCGAGGCGGGGTAGGGGACCCCTGCTCAGTAACACTGAGCACCTCGAGGCTTTTCCTCTCGGGGCGACAGCGGCCGTGGCGCGTCAGCATCGGAGAGTCAACGCGCTTTCGAGGAGGGTCTGCTGTGGAGCACCGACATAAAGTTAAAGTCTAAAGGATAGACCGACATTTATTTGCAGTTTTAGGCTAAGTTTTTACTTACATTGCAGGATACGTTGGGCAACTTTCACTCTGAAAAATATGCTTTGTTTCTTTCCCCTGAAGTGGTACTGGTAAGGTGTTTTTAAATAAATAAACCCTATTGCTTCCTGTTAGTAAGAAATGTGGCTTCATCTTCATCATCTCGCTCTGTTGTCACTATGCATTTATTTTCTCTTTTACAGTACTCAAAAGTGTGATTTTCCCACTGGCTCTGTGCGCCATCTGTGACTGTGATAAATGTAGCTTTATTTAATCAAAAATAATAGCTGTCTTCACCCAGTTTTGTCCAGTTTTGACCAATATTAAATGATTTTTGAAGACAGAACCAGAGGCTTTAGGCCAATGCTAATGGTGGGGATGACATTGACTAACTTCTTGGTCTAATGGCTATCTGTACAAATATCTTATCCAAAAGCCAATAGTGTGTAAATAATTCTGAGGGTACCTGTGTTTGGCCCCAGACTCACACACTCTGGTAAAATCTCTTCACAGAAACCTAGACTGGTAAAAAGCAGCTCCCTGCGTTGAGTGGATCCCTCCTGCCCCCTATTGACTGACCTACGTCATTGCGCGGTGGCAAGTCCTCGTCCTCATAGCTGGGGTAGCGCTCTTTCCTGTCCAGCAGCAGGTAATAGATCATCTTCTCCTGGTTTTCTCTGAGACACAAACAGAAGAACATAGACATCGGTCCACATAACTACTCCTACTATAACTATGTGTTATGGTGAGGTATGTTGAGGTGCCTGATCTCCAGCGTTTTCCACTTCAAAACAACAAAACACAGGCTTTTTTTGTGCACAAATCATTATTTAAATATTGCTTTGTTTTCTCAATGAGCACCTGACTGCACCATGACTTTGATTTGTGTAAGGTGTGGATCACACAGCTTCATCCGCCATCTTGCTTTCTTTCACTAACGTTTCACATGGCATTTTGGAGAGGAAACTGTATCCCCTTCTGCTTTCACACAGCTCTCAAAATATCTGTCCACAATACACAGGAGTACAAAAAATCATAAATGAAGTACATGAATGTGTGAGCAGAATAATAGTAACTCAAATACTGCAGTCTTTAATAAATGCATTTAGCATAACTTAGATTCATCTGTTCTGTTTTATGTAGATTTTTCACGTACTGTATAGTCTTACATAATAGTTACATAATACTTTTTTTCTCCTCAACATATATATTAATAATCTTTCAACAGTTTCAAATCGTTTTATAACATAACCTCATTACTGTCCATTGTAATTAGAGCAGTAGTGGTTGTACTGCAGGGCTGTTCACTTGCACTTCATTATGTAAGTAAGTGTGAGTGTTTTCCAGGTCACGCGGCGTTCACGGTTAAACACAGTTATGTTAAATACTTACTCTTCACATTGCAAATCACGCGTGAGCTTGCCTCGGTCTCGGAAACATCCGAGCGAGTGCATGCTGTCCAACACATCTGGGTCCAGCTCCGTCAGGGAAGAGATTCGCTTCACACACACTCGCCTGGGAGGAGGTTGCTCGGGACACGGCTCATTACGACCACCCCTGGGAGAGACACACACACACCGTGAAACACACATGAATGACACAGATATAACGAATAATTAAAAATGACCAAACATCGCTTTAGATTAGTATTTCATTCAACAGTCCAGTATGTAAAAAGAGAGCGTATACTCACAGATACCAGGCGTGTTTCTGGATGGCCTCTAGCTGTAAAGGGTGACAGGGCAGATTGGGCCATTAGCTCCTACAGTCTGTTCGCAGCCAGATGGCCGCGGAGCTGTGCTGTGTAAACACCTCACACCAGATACTTTTCTTTCAAACTCCTCATCAGTATTATACATTAAATCACAATTACATGCGTTATTCTGATTTCTGTTAAGGCATTGGACGATATTTTTTAATTACATGTCACGATTATCCTGCTAAATACTGTAGGTGTGATTCATGATATTATCCATATGAATCATTCAAATATGCTTGGAACTCTTAAAATGGCTTGGTTTGAATCACATTTTATTTTTAAGAAACAACTATTGTTTTAAAAATAGGAATTCAGCGACAATCATTTTTGGGGCAAAACGATCAATTTAATCATCTTAAATTAGGTTAACATAAAGCATAACGTCCCCTTGCATAAGAAAAGGAAACATTTCTATAATTTAATAGGAACATTCTGGGAGTCTGTTCTTTCTTATGTGATCATCCTGTATTTTATTTCCTGTAATTAGGTTCTATTTTTTCATTCTCTACAATGACAACTACAGGAATGTAAATGTACCATGAACATATTGTCAATTCAGATAAATTCATAAAGTAGGAATAAAAGGCAAACCGCAATTTGAAGAGGACAATTTAATACTTTTAAATGTTGACCATGAGGGTTGTGCAATAGGTCGCCATTGTCAGTATGTGCGTCTGTGTATTGTGTTTGTGCGAACGGTGTATGAGTGATGATATGTGTATGTATTTGAATGTTTATTATGTTTGTATATGTAGATGTATGCGGAACCGCAGGACAGAGTCCAGAACACATTTCCTTAAGGGGACAATAAAGTATATCGTATCGTAACACAGGTGTAAATCTGACAAAATTATCTTTGGAAACAGTCTAAATATAGGAATGATATAAATTCAACTTTTTTAGAAGGCATTTAGACCCCATGTTTCTGAGCCTGGTGTGAGCCCAGTCTCTTACCGTGAGCCTCTTTTCGGGGTTGACCTCAATCATACCCTTCAGCAGGGACTGACAGTCCGGGGGGATGAAGTGGGGCATGTGGAACACCCCGCTCTTCACCTTCTCCAGGAGCTGCCGTAAATTGTCATGGTCAAAGGGCAGGGCACCCTGTAGGAGAAAGGATGGGATGAAAAGGACAAAAAAAGTGGTAAAAATAAACCTGACTTGAAGAAGGGGAAGGAAGACTGCAGAAACATAAAGGGGTCTTTACAAAAGGACCAAACTGTGTTGTGAAATGGGAGCAAAAGACTCACCACCAGTAGAGCAAAAAGGATGACCCCACAGCTCCACACATCTGCTCTCCGCCCGTCATATTTCTCTCCCTGCGACAGAAAGAATGAATCATACACTGACTAAAAACGCAATATGAGTGACTTTGATTGATTCAATTCACGGATTTAATTTCAGCTCATTAGGGGCTTATCTAAGACATCTCCTAAATGACTGTAGAATTAACATCTGCATGGTTTATATTACAGGTGCCAACATTTGAGAAAAACCCACCCGTATGACTTCAGGGCAAGCATAATGTGGTGATCTAAAATGAAAGAAAAAAGCACAATTGTTATGCATGCAATTCTGGAATAATTGGCAGTAATTACTAATAATAAGTAGTATTTTAAAAAGTGGCACATTATGTACTCTTTATCATGAGGAATTCATTATGTTATGCATTGATATACACTGTTTCTGAAATACAAAATACTTCAAAATGGGTGTACTCATTAACAGCACACTCAAACACTTGGTACTCACCCACAGCTGGTCTCTAACAGACTGTCCCCCACCTGTAGGGAGGCCATGCCAAAGTCAGCGATACGGATGTTGTTCTTTTCATCCAGGAGCAGGTTCTCAGGCTTCAGGTCTCTGTGACTGTTGACACAAACACAACAGAAACTGTAAGATTTCCAGTACTGGTTATCGCTTTTCAACTGTTCATGCTACACAATCCACTAATGTATAACTTGATTTGCTGACAAAAATGTGTCCAAATGATATTTAAGGATGAAAAGTGCCTGCAAACATTGAGTCAGTATTAGAATGAGATGTTTATGATTCATTTTTGATGTAACTGACTAAGACAGCTTCTGATTTATTCTTCCATGACACATCAACTTGGCATGGATTCTTCATTCAAGAGTTTCATTTAAGGACCACTGCTCTCTCAGCAAAGAAACCCACCAGATGGAATGACTGTGGCAGAAATCCAAAGCAGAGATGATCTGCCTGAAGAACTTTCTGGCCTCTTTCGGAGTCAGCCGGCCCTTCTTCACCAGGTAGTCAAACAGCTCCCCCCCCGACACATGCTCCAACACCAGGTACCTTTCAACATTAAGGAAGAACAGTGTGATTTCAAAAAGACAGTAGTAGGGACCAAAAATTGTATAAAATAGATTTTTTTTTTTTATTGAAGACACTCTTATAGTTTTAGATACTACGCATTTTGGATGTATGATTATTGGTCTAAAATATTGATATGAAATCTTGTAATTTATTTTGTTATGCCTTCACTTTAAGCTAACATACCTGTCTATTCTGAAAGATCTTTATTTTAACATTTTAGTGAATATTTTCTTCAAGATAAATCAAAAACATTTAAGATTTAATGCAAGAGACGAAGCAGAAACAAGTGAAAAGGGAGATTTGACGAATAGGAGATTAATATAGTTCATAGGAGTAATATTAATACCCAGCCTGCTCCAAAGTTCAGTATTCAGCCACAGAATAAAGCATGCAGACTGCATAGAGCGCAGTTGTGGGGCTCTTTTGAATGCAGAGGAAACTCACAGGTATTTGTTATTCTCGTAAACATCATGCAGCTTCAACACATGCGGATGCTCAATCAGTTTCAGAATGGCAATCTCCCTCTCAACCTGGTTAGAGAGAAGAGACAGATGTGCAGAAAAAGAGCTGAAGATATTAAAGCAGAGAGCACACAAGCCAGAAGAATACAGAAGTTAAATATAGAGATTGGAGCAGTTTGTGTAAAGCATCTTGATTAAAATCAGCATTATGATCACTGCAACGACCTGACGAGCTTCATACTGTACCTTCATCAGGACTGACTCAGACAGCTTCTCTCTGTTGACTATTTTGACCGCTACCTTCTGACCCGTAATACAATGGACCCCGAGCTTGACCAGTCCTGAAATAGAAAATGTAGAGGCAAAAATAAGACACAGACATGTTTGAAAGACGCGTCATCTAGAGTTTAAATGTCTACATTTAGTAGTTTAAAATCCAGCCGGGTTTACTCACCTGTCTGTCCCTTCCCCAGTGTTTTCTCCAGTCGGTAGGGCCCAACATATTGAGCTGACTGACTCAGAGACAGTTCCTTACTCATACTGCTCTTGAAGGAGGCTAACACACTACTCTATCTGCACAGTGGCTATTGCAATCACTGTGATATTATACAGCTTATACAGTTACAAGATGGTGCTCAATTTAGCAGATTTTATTTCAGTGATAATACTGATACACTGACTGGGTGAATGCTTAAAAACTGCAAAATGGTGCTGACATATGGGTGATACATGAACATTCTTTATCCAAATCTGGTTAATACACAAAGCTAAATATAGTTGTTCTGAAGCACAGTTAACATGTATAACGTTGAAGAAGAGAAACTGAGATGACAGCCAGTTACAAGGCTGTTGTATGCGTTAAATACTGAACACTACCCTAAAGATAAACATGACAAACTAAAGAGTTTTACTCCTGTACATTAGCTTATTTGTATAATGACGTTAAGTAGATATTACGCTTGATAAGAAAATTATCGTATTAGAGGAACGTTAACGTGTTTTTCCACGTAGGTTGGAAAGATTTATATCATTTGCTGGTCGTGTCTAACCAACAAAATGTCAAAATACGCCAGTTGGTTGTTAGCACTGATAATTAAATCTGTTTTATTCTCTCTGTCAGGCCTTTCACAGGTGCAACAACATGCTATATTTTAGCCTCGCCGCCGCTCTCCCACACAGCAGCGAGGCTAGCTTTAGCTTCAACGGATGGACCAACGGCCGTCTCGCTGTCAAAAAAACCGACTCCTCCGGAAGTTCAACGCCAAACGGTTAGATTTATCACACGGCCTCCGCATTCTCACAATATTTCGAGGTGAAATTCCTAGCAAAACAACCATATTTTAGCGTAGCGTAGTCCTCCCCCTCCCTGACTCTCCCCCGTCTCTCTACATCCCTGCAGATCACAGCATCTTCTCCTCTCTCCTTTGGCGTGTCCTCCCTCCTCACCGGCGGATACACAGGTAAAAAAATATCCGCAGATAACCTCGCACTTTTATCAACTGCCTTATTTCCCCAACCTCACTTTTAATAATAGTTCACGTAGGGTAAAAGGCCCCCCTGAATTACACTCCCTTCGGTTTTCTTGCCGTAAATCGATATTTTCCTCTCTCCTCTTCCTTCCTTCGTCTCACTCGCATCAGCATCCGGGTCCCACTCTCTCTCTCTCCATCCACTCTCATCTCGCCCTCCTCCTCCTCCTCCTCCTCCTGGTCTTCTTCCTCAAAATACGCTTATCTCTGCATTCACCTCAGCAACGCGGACACCTCCCTTACAGTTTTCATGAAAAAAAATGTGTAAACATCGCCAGAGGCAGCGGATCATAGACTGGATATATAAAGCAGCGGATGGGACGCTGCTGGTGAGGGGGGACTTGGGTGTTTTGTCCCGGTGTTGTGTCAAATTATGCACCCCCATCATGAAATGCCCCCCTTGTCACGGGAACGCGCATTTCTAAATGACACGTTTACACCTTAAAACGATGTTTAAAACGAAACGTAAACGTTCAGGGTTTTTATTAATGGTAATTTTCAGACTGTGAGTTGTTTAGTGGTAGCTCATAATAGTCTTGATTCTTGTGGTTAAACTTTTCGCTCCGTATTTGATGGTAGTGGTGTCGAAATTCATTCACTTCCTTTTCAGTTTTTTTTTTTTTTTAATCTTCTGTCATATAATAATCAAAATATATGTTTACAAATGTTACATAGTCTTTGTCAGCATATTTTTGCCACGTTATGCACCCCTTGCTATCTTACATAATAAAAGTGTCACATTCATGAAACTTGCTCCATTCATTGGTACTAGTCCTACAACTATACCCTGAAAAATGCTTGAGGGTGGGAATAGTAGAAACATCTTTTTGGGTGGGGTGCATTTTATGACAGGCCTGGTTATCACAATATGCCCCCCCTTGCTATCTTACAAAATAAAAGTGTCACATTCATGAAACTTGCTCCATTCATTGGTACTAGTCCTACAACTATACCCTGAAAAATGCTTGAGGGTGGGAATAATACAAACATCTTTTTGGGTGGGGTGCATTTTATGACAGGCCTGGTTATCACAATATGCCCCCCCTTGCTATCTTACAAAATAAAAGTGTCAAACTCATGAAACTTGCTCCATTCATTGATGCATTTTTTCATGAATGTGACACTTTTATTTTGTAAAATGCACCCCACCCAAAAATATGTTTGTATTATTCCCACCCTCAAGCATTTTTCAGGGTATAGTTGTAGGACTAGTACCAATGAATGGAGCAAGTATCATGAATGTGACACTTTTATTTTGTAAGATAGCAAGGGGGGGCATATTGTGATAACCAGGCCTGTCATAAAATGCACCCCACCCAAAAAGATGTTTGTATTATTCCCACCCTCAAGCATTTTTCAGGGTATAGTTGTAGGACTAGTACCAATGAATGGAGCAAGTTTCATGAATGTGACTCTTTTATTTGGTAAGATAGCAAGGGGGGGCATATTGTGATAACCAGGCCTGTCATAAAATGCACCCCACCCAAAAAGATGTTTGTATTAATCCCACCCTCAAGCATTTTTTAGGGTATAGTTGTAGGACTAGTACCAATGAATGGAGCAAGTCTCATGAATGTGACACTTTTATTATGTAAGATAGCAAGGGGTGCATAACGTGGCAAAAATATGCTTACAAAGACTATGTAACATTTGTAAACATATATTTTGATTATTATATGACAAATATGTCAAATTAAACAATACATTTTAAAGCACGTGTATACAGACAGGACGTAACAATAATACAAATAAAAAAAACTGAAAAGGAAGTGACGAATGAATTTCGACACCACTACCATCAAATACGGAGCGAAAAGTTTAACCACAAGAATCAAGACTATATGAGCAACCACTAAACAACTCACAGTCTGAAAATTACCATTAATAAAAACCCTGAACGTTTGCTTTTCGTTTTAAACATCGTTTTAAGGTGTAAACGTGTCATTTAGAAATGCGCGTTCCCGTGACAAGGGGGGCATTTCATGATGGGGGTGCATAATTTGACACAACACCGGCTCTGGCCTCTCAGAATCACCGCTGTCCCGCAGCCTTTGGGCCGCAGTGGGGATTGTGTTGCATTAAAAAAAAAAGATGTACAATTTAATTAAGTACAATAAGGAGGTAATTACATAACCTCAGTATTTCCATTATATGCCTTCTCCAGCAGAGGTGGGAAGTAACTGTACATTTACTGAAGTACTGTACTTTTTACTTGTACTTTACTTGAGTGTTTCCATTTAATGCTACTTTATACTTCTACTCCAAAAGGGAAATAATGTAATTGTACTCCACTTCATTTATTAAACAGATTTAACAAAATGCATCCCTAAAAATGTAACTACTGGACTAACTTTTGAAGTAACAAAAGAGTCAAATTATTTCAATTACAAAAGTCAATAAGAACTTGACTCTAATATTTGTATTTTATTGCACTTGATACTTCTACTCCACTACAATTGATGTGACGTTAATTCGATTATTGAAAACTACTTTGAACATTATGATTTTAATTAAATTCTAATGGAATATTACAAAAACATAATTACTCAAATTGTGTGACTAGCTACAACATCGAAAAACATAAATAGTATTAGAAGTATAAAGGTAATTAAGCACATTTAAATTATTTTAACTCACTGGTAACTTGTAATAAAGTATCCTATACTAAAGTCAAATATCCCAATGCTTTTTCCAAAACTGTAAAACATGAAATTAACTGACGAACAGCTTATATTAAACGCACATATTCTGTGTCACCTTATTCATACATTGTCAGCCCCATGTACATGATATAATCACACATTTTTCTCTTTGTATAAAAAACACCAAATGTCCCAGAAATTCATGATGCCAGCTTTAGACCATAGGACAAAAATAATATTTTCTGACGAGCACATCTCCTTAAATAAGGGTGACCCATCACACCTCCTCATCTGGAGATGAAACTGAAAAGATATGTGTTGGGTGCTGATTTAAATGAATCACACAGGGATGAAAAGGAGGTATGTAGGACATGTGAATGTATCATCTGTAAAGTGCCTTGAAAAATCTCTAAATCTGAAATGTTGTGTGTGGGCGGATAATTCCCCAAAGCCCATCTTCATCTGCGCCTAGCTGGTTGATTTACACGCAGCCAGAAGGATTTGTCTCCAACCATGGTGCAGAAATAGAACTGGAAACACTCATTCTACAATCGTCTGTTTCCCTCTGGTGGGACATATTTGGTTGTTTTAGATCAAAGTACTACAGAAATGATGGGCCTCAATCAGTGCCGCAAATGATAAAGTCAATCTTAATGGATGATAACAAGACATATTGTAATGATTGATGCTATGTTTGCAACCAAGCAGTATTTATAATAAAGGAATTGAGAGAAGCAAAGATGGGAAATAAAAAAGAAGGATAAAAAGTCTCACCCTTACATTTTTTTTAGAGCAGAATAAAGTCTGCTTTATCTTGCAAACATTTGTAAATATATATTTTTCGTCCACAACTCCCGGATCTACCCTGTCTATTTTGTCACATCCGGTTTGTGAATAAATCATTTTGGCTCCTAAACACCTTTTCTCTACTGAAAATAAGGAACTCTGACTTTTCTTCCATCTCCACTAACTCATTGCAAGAGCTCAGACTGGGAAAGCGACATCAGACTGCTCAGTGCAGGTACTAATGTGAGGATTAAGCAGAGATTAACAAACTCTTCTTAATTCCATTAAGAGCAGCTATTCCACGTGAAAGCATATGCTCGGCCAGTGAAGAGATTTCAACAGCCAGCACATGTAATAAAACATAACAAAAATGTCTGAAATAAAAACGTGTCAATAGAGTAGCTTTTTATTTATTGCATTTTTGTGCAAGAAAGGTTACAGTGCAGAGTGTATCAGTGTCAGAGTAGAATCCATAATGGAGTTATCACAGTTATGACAAAAAAGGTTTCACATTGACAGAAGAATACAGTATTTCACAACGTTCAGTATCAGCACCCCCCTCTTCAGTTTTTCTGATGGTTCGGTCCGGTGAAATCAGCAGTGAAGGGAATGCTGGGAAAAGTGGAGGATTGGGTAAAGTGAAGCTGCGATTTAAATAAATTAAAAAAGATTGGAAATGTTATGAATATAATCTGGGATTGTAATTCAACACAATACAATTTAATCTCACAGGTATATTCACCCTTCAAAAGACAATCAATAGTTAGATGGAATAAAAAAGCATTATTTCACATTAGCTAACCAGTAATATTGTAATTGGAGCAGCTTACTTATTATTTTCAAGTATCCATTTGACCTTTAAATGTCCTATCTTTTCAGTTTCAATACTTTTTTCCTAATCAATTTACCTTTTTAATTTGAGTCTAAATTCTGGTAAAATGATCATATACTGTAACTCCTAATAAACTCACTTAGTGCATTCTTGCTCATTTAATTAGTAGAGTGATGTGTTCATTTTGTGTGATTATACAAGAAAGAAAAATCTGAAATTATAGTTTGTAGTCAATTGTGTGAACTTACATTTGATGAAGATTTACTTCCTTACGTATCATGATCCCTCAGACAGGGTTTTTAAACAGGACTGGAAGGCGTCCATCAGATCTTTGCAGGCGTCCTTTCCCTTCTCTCTGACACTGAAACACAAAACTGGGTTTACAAAACACTTAACACTCCCGGCACATGTATATAGCTTATCTTCTCTGACACAATAACATGTTTCAGTTTAAAATTGTGCAAATTACATAATGTAAATGTTAAGAAAAACAGTAAACACATTAAAAGTCACCTAAAACTCAGTGGAGGAACGTAAATAATACTGCTAAATGTATTCAACGATGTGCATGAAAGGGATTATTACAGTATAGCCTAATAATAAAGTACTCTACTCCTCTGCATTTACTAAAGTACAATACAAAAATTGCAGCAGCAGCTACACTAACACTAATGACAGCTGCACCTGCACACACACAAAGTGTTTTCATGTAACACGAACCAACAGACTGGTATGTGCCGATGCTCTGCAATAGGTCATACATGTGTAAACCTATTTTAAACCCCAGGTCTATTTTTGCTTCTTAAGACATTTGCATTACTGTAAGGGCCCTCCATAAATGTTGAGTATTCTACATTAACTTTAGTTAGATTTAAGGATTACAGCACTCTTACAAATTGAGCCCAGATGAGAAGTGAATATGAAAACATTGGATGCCCCGCATAGAAGTCAATGAGTGTTAACTGAGGATGGCCATGTGGATGTAATTGAAGTGACAAGTATTTAGTTGGAACCCAAACACAGTTCATTCATTTCCCCTCAGGGCACAAAGTTATACAAAGACCCTCTCTATTGGCAATTACAGACACAAAAGACTCGCTGGCTGATGAAATAGTAATGTATATGTTTGTACAAATACAATGTTAGTATCTATAATTGTACCTTAATTTCAGTCAGTACTAACCATTTGTCAAAGTCCTGTTTGATGACCTGGCATGATGCTGGAACTGCTTCATTGGAGTCTGGCATTTTGACAGGGGAGATCTGGAGTTTGTGGCTTTACCACAAGAGCTGCATTCATGTATGGTTACAGATTGGTTACAGCGATGAAGGGAGGGAGAAAGGGAGGGAAAGAGAGAGAGAGAGAGAGAGAGAGAGAGAGAGAGAGAGAGAGAGAGAGAGAAGAGAGAGAGAGAGAGGAGAGAGAGAGAGAGAGAGAGAGAGAGAGAGAGAGAGAGAGAGAGAGAGAGAGAGAGAGGGAGGGAGGAGGTATGACAGCAACTGTTTGTGATAAACTCAGAAGAAATTAATAATCTGCAAGAGATTGCTCAATTTGATTTGAAATACTTGTTTCTCTTGCTTTTTATTTTAATTTTTGCAAAATGTTTGGGAAAGTTGAGTTTCTTTGCTCCTTTCTCTTTGTTTACATGTATCTATCCATTATGTACATTAACCTACAAAATGTAGGTAATCTCAAATGCTTTAATTTCCATCCTTTGTTTGACAGCCTTTCTAATGAATATGCAGATAGCTGACCTTTTGAGTCAAGCATTGTGCATTACAAAGACCTCATAATGCATCTAAAATACTCACCACAGGGGAGGGTCTTCTCCTGAAAGGAGATGGGGAAGCCTGTTTCTGTTTTACACTGCTTTGTTAGCTTAAGAGGTAGAGAGTTGTAGCAAATATGACAAAACATAGATCGTTTGTCCCCCACGTTTTCTTATATGACAAGGCATTACAAAAGGTAAAATGCCTAAAATGTTGTGGTCACTTAATATTTACAGTATTTTAGTTCAAGGATTTCACTTCACCGCTAGAGGGCAACAAACTCTCATACACATTACATTTCTGGACAAATGGCCTCCAGAGATGTGCATCATTGCTACCAACAAAAGAGATACGTTTTACATTTAGCATTATTTACTAGTTTAGATGTTCATTCACGTATTGAAATAATTATCTTACAGTATCTTGGTGTTTTTATGCAATTCAATATGGTGAAATGTTAATATGATGGTAAAGCTACTGACAGTGCATCAGAAAACCCCGATCAAAAAATGAAATATGAGAAAAGCATCACTCTGTCATGCTGCCAGTGATTCGTTCTCTTTTATCATGAACATAAAATCCATTGTGCCATCTGCTGGTGTACAAATCAAGTGCACATGAGCTCTGGCAGACTGGTACTCCAAATAATAAAATTAGCAAGAAACACCCTAAATCAGGTCTTGGCAATGTAAGGAATGTTGGCAATTGTAAGGAAAATCCCCAGTATTTGCATACCACTGATTACATGCAAACTGCAGCCTACTTAAGCATCGGATTTGAGGCAGGAAATGCTTCTGTCTCTCAAAACAGGCTCCACATTTCGGATGTAAATTTGAAAAGCGGCTGCTAAAGGCCCATATATAAATCTGGTTATCACTGGAAATACTTTTGCACTCGAACGCGTCTCAGCCAATCGCAGCGATCAAGACAGACAGCTGACTATTTTTGTTCGTGTAAAATGCAGTCTAAATTAATATTTGGCCTCTTAATAAGATGAAAAGCTGGAATAGCATGCAGGGTTGCTTGGCAGAGTGAATGGAGGTCACCGCAGACATTGAGTGAGTCTCAGCGGTGAGACACAGAGGGGGAGAGGGAGGACGGACAGCGGCCAGCCGCCTTCAAAAATGGCGTCTCCGGAGGAAAATGAGTAAAAAATATTGAAACGCGGCCTGTTTTCTTTATACTTCCTTGTTCGGTATTGGTGTTTTTAGCACTTTGTTTTTATTTTACCCCGTGTTTGCAAACTCGTCGTCGCTTTTACTTGAATTGGGTAAAGAAAGCAGAAATCAAGGGAGCGAGTATTTGGGGAAATAAAGGCAGCCCTGTTTTATTTTGATGCGTCGTTAGTGACAGCTAGCATCTGCTGCTAACCCACAGCTCTGCTCCGGAGGGGGGTGGGAACGATTTGCATTCAAAGGAGAAAAAAAAAAGGATTTTGCAATTGTGGGGATTTCTTTTTGCTCGTCGGTGGGGAGTGAAATTGCTACCAACGTGGCCCCGTCGATTGCAATCCTTTTTTTCTTCTGGTGCTAGCATCGTAGCAAGGACTAGCCTAAAGAAAGGGGAGGAGAGACGGTGAAAAGGACGCATTCAAATCAAATGTTTATCAGCAATTCATCCACCACCGGCCAAATCCGCGGCATCGCCATCATGACCATGACTGATTTTGGACTAAATCTGCATTCCTGGAAATGATAAATGTGAAAGGCGACGGAAAAGGAGAAAGACTGGCTTTTTTGGAGGTGGTTGGATTATAACCCCGTAGACCCCCCTCTTTTTTCATCCAGCTTTCTCCTCCTCCCCTCCATTTCTCTTTCAATATGCTGTTTTCCACTCCTGAGGACTTGCTTATGAAACCGGGGAAAATAGCCTGAAACCGACAACGGGAAAGACTGGATTTTTTTCCGTAATCTGCGGTGCGACGTTCTCGTTGCTTTCGTCCTCATCGCACTCATTGTACAGCTCATAAATGGATAGAAATTACCCGGGAACAGGGTTTGGTGATTTGGGCGCAGGAGCAGGATGGAGTTACGAGAGATCGGCAAAAGCAAGGTATGCATTTGATTCAGACAATGTGCATGCATCACTGGTACTTTGCAAGGCACGGTGTGGCCCATGTAAACAAATTGTCGCCATTGGGTCCGTAAATAGTAGCATGCCGTGCCATTATGTGCAGTGCATTGTCATCCAAACAGATGCATAGTAATAATATTATAAACAGGAATAGAGTAGTGTGCGTGTCGTGGGGGTGGGCGGGGTGGAGAAAGGAAAAGGTTGGGGATATGAATTGAAAATGATTGACAGACATGGGTTTTAGGTGGACCTGGCGGGGTGGAGGTGGGGGTATGTCTGGAGCATCCATAGGAATTATTGTTCCCTGTGTGCAGGCCTGGACCCTGATAGATAAATGCATTGGATTCAAAGCAACTGCGAAGAGTGCAGACGCAGCAAAGCCCCTGACGGACATCAACAATCAGAACAGATGCATAATACCCGGGGAGATGCATTAAACAAAACAATTGTTCTGTGTGACGTTGTGAAGAAAAATAATAAAACGTCTTAAATTAGAGGTGGTGACTTCCTTATAATACAATTGAGATTTCTGATGCATTTTACCCAAGCGTGATCTAGATTATCGGTGATGGATTATTTAATTTCCAGATTAAAAATGGTGGACTATTCAAAAGTACCAAAACATGCAATTTGCTGTTTTGCAAAAACAAAACAAAGTAAAATGCGACGGTGAATTTTTAAGATGATGAAAATTGCCTGTGCTGTGCAAGATAGCTATGTCTTTTAGCTTCGCGTTAGCCTGCAAGCTAGCGCTATGTTGCATGGAAGTCAGTTGAGGCCTGTGCTCGCAAGCATCATTATGCTTAGTTAGTTGCACATATTTGAGATATTTTGACTCAGACCTGTCTGATTTATCACAGTAAAAAGCCACCATGCCCCTATTAGAAGTGTTCTTTTGATAAACAAACCTTGATAGTTGCTGGTGTTTGAATGCAGTTTAGCATGTATTTGCGTCGACTTGCAGCATCCAGCTGTTGGCTACATCGACATAATCGATGGTTGCAGACAAATTAATGATACGTCTATGGTTTATATTGAGAAAACTACATGTTTTACTTGACCTCAACCTTCATATTCGTTACACATGGTCTATTTACACGTAAAAGACTTGACTGGCCTTGCAGTTCGGGCCTAGTCTCTGCATTTGTACTGTTCATTGGTGCTAGGCGGTGCTAGCAGTAGCACAATGTTAGCATGTTATCTGGCCAGCCAGGCAGCCACGCATTTCAGCTTTCTTTTCTAAAGCAAAGTTCTGCAACTGGCTAATTCTCAGTGTTGAATAAGAATGTTATATAGTCTCTACATTAATACATTACTTAATGGTTGAGTCTTGTGTGGCCATTATAATAATTGCTAATTAACTACCCTATTATTTTTGCATGACATTTACATTGCATTGACAGATTTGTATCAACTGCAATTCACTTTGGTATAATTCCCAAGTTTTGTAAATCTGTTTACACTTTTTTTGGGGGAAAGATCCTGAACCAATGATCTAACCAATTAATCTATTAGACTAATATATAAATTACTTATCAGCAATTTTGTTTTTCACATGTGAGAAACTATGGAGAACCCACACATGGAGACCAAACAAATAAACAGCATGGAGTTGACATACCTGGAGGTGTGGATTTTTAATTAGGGAACAATTAACTTGCCCTTCAGATTATGTTGACATTTTCTTTTCTCAAGGGTCACATTTAGGGAACAGATTACGTTTTATGTAAATGTTATCTGATATTAATAACACTTAATAATTTCCCTTTCTCCATAGTCTTGTGTATGGGAGCTCCAGATCATCCCACCCTGAGGCTGAGCTCCTTCACCGACAAGCCTACGCCACCCCACACCCTCTGCAGGGCTATGCCACCAATCACCACCCAGGGAGCACCGGCCAAGGCGGAGCTTGGGGAGCAGCTGGACGGAGTTTGGGTGAGATAAATGTCATACCTTCCATGTCACCACCATAAGGGGCCCCAGCAATGAATTATTATGTCTCTCTCCACAGGCACTGTTAGATTGTCATTGAAAAATGTGCACATTATGGCTCAATTGAGTTGAAGCCCTAGATGTTAAAGAATGTCGTCACACAGCATTCATTCTCATACAGTTAAACAATATATTAATGGTTTTATAGAAATTGAGGTTTATGTGCTTATAATTGAACTTAGAACAAATTACGTTGTTTTGACTCATTTACATTTGTTGAATCTGTAACTGCAGGCTCGAGAAATAAACCTTTTTTGATTTCGTGATTATGTATCATGATTTAATCTACATCTCTGCATTAGCTGTTCATATTTGCATTCTTTATTAATTAATCAATCTTGGTTCTGTGTTTCCTTCCCAAAGGTCTCTCAGGGCTCTTCGACACTGGCCTGCACCATGCCAGCCCCTCTGCCCCCGATGCCTCCGTCATGAATCTGATCTCAGCCCTGGAGTCTCGGGGTCCCCAGCCTCCGCCCTCCGCCTCC